GTTTTCTGTAGAAAGTTCAATTTTTTTTTTTTTTTAACAGAAAGAGATGTGAGAAAACTTTTTATTATTTGTTGGAGGTATTGAGGATATCCATATTGCTTTGCCAGGCTCCATCAAAAGCTTTTTCTATATCTAAAAAATAGTTAATGTGCGTTTGTATTTTTGGGAGTACTTGTATAAATACCAATTCTTGTTCAGGAGAGACGTTTTTGCTTTATCCAGATGCATGAAAATTCGAAACCCAGAAAATGTTATAGCTTAATTTCCAGTTCTCAGCTCAGAGGGAGGCGGTGATTACGCAGTAGCGCAGACAATGTCAACTATCCTAAAACCAAGAAATCTAGGTGAAAACGGTTTGAAGCGTCAATAAGAACAAAGAAAATGAAATCAAAAACAAAATAGTAAAAATGCGTTGTCTAGTCTTATTCGTACCGCAGACCGCCACAAAGTACGGAAGATCTATCCTAGTGGAATAGTGCGTAACGGGTAGTAATCAAAGATGTATTTTAAGTATACCACAGTCATTAGTTTCTTCACAACATTTTTTTGGGCTCATGGTATTTATTGATAGTCTTATACACTGTTCACTGTTGAATATTCTTCGAAATTTGCAACAGATGTATGAAATTGTTAAACCCATTACTTATTAAATAAATTTACAATTTGTAAATATTTTGGGATTGGTGGTGCTCATATTCAGGTCTTCTGAAAACCATAGGTTGGTAATATCAGGCATGAATACCCTGAGATGTAGATTTTGTGAATTTGTACTTTGATATCTGGATGAATTTAACATAACAGATGCATTGAAAGAAATGGAATCCCTTATCTCGATGTTTCGAGAGAGCTTGTCTAAGGATTTTTGGTGTAGTAGGTTTTCTTATTAGAAATTTTGTAAACTTCTGCATGGTGTCATTTAAAGACGTGTGGTGTGAATTTTTCATAGGCAAAGAGACCGAAAAAGAAATAGAATCCCGATTAAAAATAAAGTTTTTAAACTTTCGTTCATTACAAATTTAAATGTTCAGGGTCTAGGAAAATACTACGTTTGACACCTGTTAAAAGGTTAAGCAATACTATGCAAAATTTCAACAAAAGCTTTTCCGATGGTAGTTTCCGTCCTCCATTTATAAAATTCCCTCTTTTTATAAAGAAATGAAATAACTTGTATTTCTCAATGATTCTCCCGAGTTCCCGAAATTTGTACTGTATCCCTTCTGAACCATTAAGGTATTAGATTGTTAAAGTTATATTTAGGGGAAAAAACTGTTTTTAGAATGAGAATTAATCATTTATGCGCTTCCATTAAATCTACTGGTCATGAATTGAAATGTGGGTGATAAAAACTTTGTTCTTGCAGTACAATTTTCAGACGCTATCGCAATAAAAATTAATGCATTTTATGCGCTTAAAATGACCCCAATTTTTCTTAGACGAAAGTTGGAAACCCTAAGAATTGGTTGCCTAAGAATCTGGAAAATGTGCATCTTCATAATCGAAGTACATGCCGCCTTAATAAAATTGTAGTGTCGTCACCGAATAAAGCAAATAATTAAAAGGCTTAACTAAATCAAAATCTGTACGTATGTGTGTAGTATGTATATGTAACATTTAAATTCTGAATCTTTTCCAATCTTACACATCTGCAATGACTGCTATTCGGCTTCTTGAATTCAACGGTGACATTTAATGTGGATTTCTGGATCTTCCAATTTACACTTCAAACCTTTCATTAGTTATAAATCGTATTTCCTTTATTGTAAATCGTTCAATATTTTATTCACACACATACTAAAAAGTATTTTAATATTATGTTGTGAAAAAGAGATGTGACATTTCTTTCTCAACATTGTGTGGCAATGTGGAAAGGTCCACTGTGATTGGCATGCACGCTGTTGGTTTTGACGGCAAATTGTAAGTCGCTCATGCAAAAAATTTAAGATTTTCTGAATTTACCAATAATTTTGGTTATAATAGCAATAATAGTAGTAATAATAGTAATAATAGTGATAATGATAATGATAATGATAATAATAATAATAATAATAATGATAATAATAATGATAATAATAATGATAGTCTCGGTATATTATCGTTCTTTTTGTCCTCTATGACATACTATTTCAAAGAACTGTTGCTTATTAAAATAATCTTGCCTATGATTTGGAATAGTCTTGTTTTCTACATGATCTGTCGATGCTCGTAAAAATACGCATTATTGCGTTTTTTTAATACGACTTTAAAGTATTGTTTTTTTAATTTTTTGTTTCGAATTCCCTTCGTGTGGACAAGCTTCGGCAGCTGGTTGCTCGGGATGGAATCCAATCGTAATCGACTATTGTTGTTCTCTTACCAGTAGAATTTTAAAGGCGAACACTTGGAGTATTCTAAAACTGTATATTTACACGAAATATAGAAATGTTATTGAAGATGTCTTGATAGTGTTTTGACAAGTTCCGCCCAGAATATGCAAATGGCTGAGTTTTCTATGGTGGTGCAGGTCATTGAAACATGAATTACGGCAGTGGACGACTCGTATGGTGAATTGTGGCTCGATTTCGCCCTGCACGTAAGCGTACGTTGGGAGCTGCGCGGTGTACGTTACGAGGCAGTCGGATCGATACGCGTTCGTACTACTCTGTGATGTCGAGTTTTGGCGGGAGGGACCGCTGCGTGCGCATCCACGTATCGGTGTGCAGCATTATGGCCGCCTTTGCCTCTGGATGAATTGCGCGGGAAAGGATCTATATTCTGTTGTTCGCTGTCATTTCAGTCTTTGCTTCTGTGACAAAAGCATTTCTTTAATCGTCAGAATTGAGCATCTCTACCTCCTTGGTGGGATATTCGCATTATGGGTGTTCTAAATGAGCATAGTTTAACGCTATGCATTGGAATTGTAAAGGGTAAAATGGAGATAAAGTAGTGTCCATTTGCTCCGTCACAATTCTGAGATGTTTCAAGTATTTTCTGTTGTATAATGGTCACCAGTATAGAATATCTGACATTTTTAAAAATATATTTATATTATTATTATTTATTTATTATTTGTCTAACCGTCTGAAATCGAAATTATGGATTTTATTTACAGCTGGCATCACATGTCTCCCTTGAGATTGAACGAGGACTTGCAGCTCCAACATTATTTTGTGAATGAACTATAGTCTCCTTGTGTGCTTGCCGTGTGGTGGCTAGTGACTAGCGACGTGTTGTGCTTGCAGGCAGATGGTGGGGAGGGTGGCGCTGGAGACGCTGCGCGCAGTAGCCGACACACCCGAGGACATCCGTGCCGCGATGGACATCATCAACAGGGCAGCTACAGATACGGGCGAGTACAGTCGGTCAGACCGTGAGTACGGCATGTGTGTGAATGATTGTTGATGGCCGATGGAACCGTACACATGGCTGGCCAGTAGATTGGTCTTCAGCGACCTATTACCGACGGTGGATTGGTTTTACCGAACGTGTGCCTATACCAATTTTTGACAACCTATAAATCTCTGGAGATCCTCCCACCGGCGAGCTTTAAGAAGTGGGCGGCTACTTCATTTCGTCTCGAGAAGCTAGCTATATATATATATGTGTGTGTGTGTGTGTGTGTGTGTGTGTGTTGAACAAATTTCTCATCGTACAAAGGCCTGTATTATATTCTGTTACGATAAAGTACAACTACATTAATAAAAAATATGATTCAAAATTAAAGACTTCAATTATTACAATTTTAATATTTGTAATTGTTCAATAAAATAAAACAATTTTTTTTATTCATCAGATATTTTAAACATTGATAGAAAACATTTGATGAAAATGCAATCTTCATTAATTGAGCAAGTGTAATTAAATGGATTCAAGTGTTGCAACAATAGCAATAATATTCCTTGCATTAGGTGTTATCAGGGAGATGAACAGCTGGAAAAGGACCAGACGTTTAATATTGTCTGGAAAAATGGTTCTTGATAATTATTGTGAGTTATTTTTCTTTTTAGTGTTGCACTTTGAGTAAACCAGCTACAGTACTATTCAATAGTCTGTTCATTTTAATGTTATCATGCATCAAACAAATGGAAAAGCAATAGGAGGGTGAAGTAAAACCTTTTTTACATTCACTAACCAGTCCCCCAGATCTTGAAAATATGAGAAGAATGTGTAACAGAGTGGTTTCCATTTAAAAAATTAAAATTAATTCTGTTGCAAATTATCCAAGATGGACCAAGACATATAAATTGTCTTGCCTTGAAAAGAACATGCCAAAGGAATGTAATGGTTGTTTGAAAAAGTGTAGATCATTCCTAGGACTCCCCATTCTCCCCACTGACAACTAACCCCTAATCCAATAACATATCTCAATATTCAATATTTTTTCATGAAACAAGGAATTGACCTTTGTCATAGAACAAACTGAATGTGTGTGTATGCAAGCTAAGATATCTTTGTAAAATAATGTTAAAGGTGACTCGTATTAACTGCAAATTCAAATTTTCATAAGATTCAGTTACATAGGCAAACATATCTTTTGTAATATATTATATTTACAATTGTGTGTGTGAAAATTTGTTTCATATTTTGAAGTTTGTTTATTCATTTTTAAACAATGTAATAGATCTTCGTGGTTTCAAAATATTGTTTATTTAAATTGTGGGTTAATACTTATTTTGTTAAGACTGAAATTGCGGAGCTTTATACTATTCGTTTCATGAAATTAAGTTTTTGTAGTTTCAGGATCACTATTGGAATACTTGCTTATAATGAAAATGTCAATTAAACTTGCGTAAATTATCTTATTGGAAATTATTCCTTTCTAAAATATGAAATTATTATGTACCCTCATAATTCACAATTTCTAATTTTATTTCATCAAAATAAAATCTTTTAAAGTGTAACTTAATGACATAGAGAAATGATTTTAATAAGTTTGATTTAAATGAAAATTTTGTAACGTTCTCTGCCCCCCATGAATTTCATTGAATGAAAATTCTGATATTGGCTTCCTCTGAATGTTACAGAAATTTCAGTCAAAGCAGAATTAATGGAACAACTTCCACATATAGCCATGGTTTGTCATGAAGAAAGAGAGAAACTTCATTTTGTAGTTGAAGAATGTCTCCTACCATTAGTGATTCGCTTTCTGGGAGATTCAGATAATCAGGTTGGTGATGCGTCTAAGTATAGTATTATTTATGTTTTTCTCTTCATTTTCTTCTCTCTCTTTTTTTTTTTCTTTCTTTCCTTGTGATTATGTGGTTTCCTGACTTCTCTGGATTGACTGAACACCTGTTTTGAACACATTGTTTCTATCCATCGTATTTAATTTTATTGATGGAACTAGCTAAAGTTTTGTGTGTTGCCGTGGTATGTATTTAAAACATTCATCTATTAGGCAGAAAGGAATCAATTCGATCTGTAGAATGCTTGCACTGCCCAAAGCCTAGCTGTTTCCCACCACCCTCACCTGGCCCTGCTCCTGCCTGCCTTACCTGACCATGCTTGCTACTGATATTGTTGCTATGGGCAAGCTTTAAACTGATGCTTTGTTGCATATATCAGGCTAACCTACAATTATTAAAAATGTAATGATTCTATTGGAATGAATTAATGAGCATTTAGCAGAAAGGTTTATGAACTTCAAGAAACATTCAATGATCTTTGATGGATTTCCTCACCCTTTTCAGAATATTTGTCCAAAACTTAAAGTGCACTTTAATTTTGGTCTAAAGGGTCCCTACCACTGCAGGGGTTATCTTTATGAAATCTGACGCTGACTAACTTTTCTCTTGTTCTGATATTCATTTGTACAAAATTTAATTAAGATTAGAATAAAACTGTATTTGTGTGAAAGATAAACCAACCATTTCTTTTGTACAATATTAAGTAATAATTTAATATAAAAATTAGCATAACTTACGTCTGACAAACCACTCTTTCTTTGAGTGAAAACATTGAAATTGGTTTAGCTGTTCCTGAGATTAGTCTGGACAAATTCGGACATGTGGACACAACTAACAATTAGTAATTAATTGTAAACAATTAAAATGGCTTTTATATTATCTAAATAACCATGGGAAATTATTTGCGGAGATTAAGAGAGATTAAGAGAAATTATTTGCGGAGATTAAGAGAAATT